CCTGCGGTCCGAGGATGCTGGCCGCGTCCTGCGGTTTGCCTGCGCTGATGTGAGCCAGCGCCCAGAAGCGAGCTGCGTTCCGGTGCCGCGGACTGGCTGCCGGCAGGGCTGTGTGCAGTCACCATGAATGCTCAGCTCTAGGCTGCTGGAACAGCCTCCCGACTGCATGGATTTGGCTGTTTAATCAGCCGAGATTCCTGCCGGGGAAGATTTCAGAGCTTGATCCGCGCTCCAGCTGCGGTGACAACTTCGGGGCTGGCTGTTTACTTGTGCAGGTTCCGCGGACTCTGTCCTGCACCGCAGCTACCCTCGCCACTGGCCTGCTCGGCTCGGGAGTCAGCCGTCAGGACTCCTCTGACGGTCCCCAGAAAGGGGGAGCCAGGAGGGGTTCAAAGACGAGCAGGAACCCCCTCAACTGCTCAGCCTCTCGTGACTGCCTGTGCTGTGGGGTTCTGAGAGGGACCGTGCGCTTTCCGGGGAAGCAATGCAAGTCTCCATAGCCTGCACTGAGCACAATCTGAAGAGTCGGAATGGTGAGGACCGACTTCTGAGCAAGCAGAGCTCCACCGCCCCCAATGTGGTGAACGCAGCCCGGGCCAAATTCCGCACGGTCGCTATCATCGCGCGCAGCCTGGGGACCTTCACCCCCCAGCATCACATTTCTCTCAAAGAGTCCACCGCAAAGCAGACTGGCATGAAATACAGGTATGGATGTAACATTCCTTCTGCCCGGGGGGAGGGGGGGTCCGTGTTCTGCACAGGTGCAGGCAGTGGAGTCGCTTTTGAAAAGTGACTTATTTAGGGTGGGTTGCTTAATTTAGAATTCTCAGGTGTTTTTAAAATAGCTCTTTAGAAGGATGGAAAAGTTCAAGGTGGGGTGTGTGTGTGTGTGTGTGTGGTAAGTTTTTAAAATTGTGGCCCATTTTGAATATACTGTTATGAGCACCTTAGGAGCTATATAAATTCCAGTCTGCTGAAGGAGACACACAACTGCTGTTAACTGGCAGTTAGATCAGAACGTTTTTAGGAGCATTTTTTTTTCTATTTTGGGATACATATGTAGTTTCTGCAATTATACTATCAGAAATAGTTGCTCATCTTGTGCTGCACTCTTATTATCCTTTGAAAGACCGAATATCAGATGCTACATACACAAAGTTTTTATGAAGTTTTGTTGTGGAAGAAATGCCTATAAATTAGATTAAACTCTGTCATATTTAATCTAAATTACTGTGTGAACTAAAACATGAAATAAGGAGAAAAGTTCAATACCACCCGTTTATTCAAAATTTTAACCTTCTTTAAATTGTTTTCTAAAGATAAATCTTACGGTAATAGGTGATATTTTTATAATAGAGAATAACTTAAATTTGATAAGTAAAAATTTTCATGATGTAATTATGTGGTTTCTGCCTTCTCATTATTTGTGCTTTGCACCAATCCTTCTTGACTTTATTTCTTTAAAACTACTGTGCTTCTAGTTTCTAGAAGTGGATATAGAGGAGAGAATGTACTGACACATCTTCCAATGTTTTTGTTACTCTAAGTTGCAGGTGTGGTTTTGCTACTTATTTACATTTAACTATCTCTCATCTCTTTAGGAATCAGGTTTCCGGATAGGATGAACTTAATGCAATTAAGATAATCCACATCTAAGACTGTGCTTTCTGTGTGGGGTTGTTGAAATAAGCATTTAAATCTATTTATATCAAAGTTGTCCTTGAAAAGTTTCTTTGCAGAGTTCCAGGAAAGCTGCTCACAGCAAGTAGTAAAGCACTGTTGTTTTGCTGTATTTTTGAGCCATTGAGAAAGAAAGCCCATAAATGAAAACAAAGCAGTTGTAGCTGAAGCTCTCCGCCCAACTGCAGTGCACACTCTGACCCTTAGCAACACCTCTGCTTTTCCTGATAGTGCCATGGTGGAGGGGGGACCCCACAATGACAATTCTCTACATGAATCTGCTGTCTCTAGTGCATTGGACTTTCCTAGTGCTGCCACTGTGGCGCTCCCCCAGTCCCTGCCCTGTGGACGTGGTGCTGCTCTCTCTCTGTGCATTTCTACTGCTGTGAAGGAGACAAGCTGTTGCCCCCCTGGGAGTACCCAGGAGTGGGACACTCTTCCTGGAAGATCAAGGAAAGTGGTGTGAATGGGTGGCTTCTAGCATCTAGCATTTTGTGGCACTATAAACTTTCTTATTACAAATCAGAGGAAATCAAAGTAACAATCCTTGTTTCTTGGGGCCGTGTTTCATAGTTGCTTGTGGGTAACTGTTGGAAGGCTATGGTGTTATGAGTGCTTTTAGAAGTCAGAAGCTTTCTATTTAGGTTTTTCTATCAACACAACTCAACTCAGATTGGTAAATGTTTCTGTTTTTTTCCAAAACCTAGTGTGGGAGCAAGATTCTTTTGGGTATCTTTCAGTATTGGCTACTGCGGACAGCTTTTCTTTGACAAGTTAGTCCTGAAGGTCTCCAGTAATATGGAAGATATCCCGTTGTTTGTAGTGACTAAATAAGATGCCTCTTCCTTATTCTTTCTCTTGTTTTGAACCACTCTGTGACAATCAAGTGGTGTGTGTGTGTGTGTGTGTATATGTATGTGTATGAATGAATATGATTTACCCCCTCTTTCAAATTCTATGTAGAGTGATCTTTGTGAAAGAAATTATGAGATAATGCCAAATATATATCATGCTTTCTTAGGGTTGACAGGCAGACCATATGCTTCATTAAAAAAGTGGTAGAAATATTTTATTAGTTAAATTGTCTTTTTACATTTTGATACCTAAGATATGCCTATGTGGACTATATATTAATGATAACGTGTAGTAGAAAATAAAAATAATGCGATGGGATAAGGAAGGTTTGGGTAAACAATCTGGAGAATACCTAGAGGAACCAGAAAAGGAAGTTAGCACTTAATTGTGGCCATGATATTCTTTCCTTGAAGATGGCTTCCATAGGCAGAACTTTCAGAATGATCCACCAACCCAATAGAAAATAAAATGTATTGTTTTTCCATTTTCCTGGGGAGAGGATTTATAGCTTTCATCAGAATTTAAGGCATCTACTAGTCCAAAAACCATCAAACTGTTGTCAGGCAAAGAGATACTCCTTTAGCCAACAAATACTTGCTGAGCACCTATCCTGTACCAGTAACTATAGTAGACCTGGTAGACAACGCACAGAAGCCAGATGAGGCTTGGGGCTTACTTTCAAGACCATAAATAAGAAATCAAATAAAATAAATTTTTCTATTGTGAGATATTCTTATGAAGATCATGTGTTGGGTAGTGAAAAGCCATTCCTGAACCAACTTAATTGGTTCATTTTTAGATTGCCAATGCCACTTTAGTTCCAAGGTTAATGACTACATCTTGCAGCATGAATAATTTGTCCATATCTGCCACCCATTTTGCTATCCTGATGGCCATTGTTCAGGGCTAATCCTGCTGCAAGGAGCTACCTGTCAGTTGAGGACCTAATCATAACTTTGAAAAATAAGTAGAATGGCTTTTTTGTATATAATGCCTTATGATATTTCAATAGTAATTTATATCATCATCTAAGATTATCATCCATTTATCAAGAATCCATGAAATTGGGAATTCAGAAAGATTAATACATGCTTGTGCAAAGCACCTGAATTCTGCAAGGACAATGCTCAAAGCCACTACTATATTTTCACCATCATTGTACGATAATCTTGTTTTAAATTGACTCTTGTTTCAAGGCTGAAGATCAGAAAAAAATCCACTAGAACATTCATCCATTGAAATGTTACTATTAGTCGGAGGGAGAAAGAGTCCACCTAACATTTATCCTGGTGACTGTCTTAAATGCAAACCACAGGGCTATCCTGGTTCTTGGAGTTTTCACAGTTGTGCCTTGTTAATGCTTCAGAATTCTTTTGTTTTACTTTTGCATGTGTTTTTAGTCTCGAAGTTAATTATACCATGTTAATTTTATGGAATTTCTGCAATCATATGTGAAAGATCTGCACATGATAAATGTAGTTGTATACCTGAACCTTTTATCCTAAGAGTAAATCACTCAGGACAGAAGTTAAATAAGGTTGGTTTTATTGTTTTTGCTTGTTTGTTTGGACTTTTTGTTTTGTTTTTAGACAATTTTTTAAAAACGATCCAGGTACTAATGTTTGACATAGTTTCAGAACTTATCATGTCAGGATAGAGCACATTTATATTGATAAGTTCCTGCCCCTCTCATTCTGAAATCCTGGTTTATTTTATTTTTATTTTTATTTTATTTATTTATTTTTGGTACCGGGGATTGAACTCGGGACTTTGTGCTTACAAGGCAAGTGGCAAAACCACTGAACTAAATCCCTGGCCCTGAAATCCTAGTTTAAATTCCAAAGCAATGTGAATATCAATGAGCCAAATTTCACTGAGAAAGGTTTTGTTTGAAACATACATATCTGTGGCACTGTAATCTTGGCTGTGTAGTTACATGCTTTGATAACTGTAAGAGAATTCTTTATAAAAAAGAAATATTGTCTGCATCATAATTTTAGAATTTCACTAAAAAATTTTATTTTTTTCCTTTTTAAAAGCTTAATCACACTTTAGCACTAATTTTTTGAAGCAATTATAGATTTAGAGGAATTTGCAAGAAAATGTACAAAGAATTTCTGTGTATGCTTAATTTCATCTGTCTCTAAAGGTAACATCTTGCATAACAGCAGCGTGAAATCAAAACTAAGAAACTGACATTGGTGTAATCCAAAGAATTTATTTAGATTTTACCAGTTATACATGTATTTATTTTCATATGTTTATATGTCTACGCAGTTTTATCAAATGTATAGATTTGTGTAGCTGTGACAGGGAAGAATCATAATTTTTCTGTAATCACAAGGCTCCTTCATGTGATCCCTTTAAAGACACTTCTGTTCTCTTCCCCAATCCTTAACCCTAGGTAACTACCATTCTGTTGTAAGCCATCTCTAAAATTTTGCTTTTTCAAGAAATATCATAGAAATGGAACCTTACAATATATAATCTTTTGGAATGGACTTGTTTCCTCAGAGGATTCGTGCAGGCAAGTGGGGAGAGAAAATCTTGTAGCTTTACAAGAGGTCAAACTGTGGCACTGTAGAGGTGTCAGGGTGAGCTGTTTAGATGTAAGGTGAACATCAGCAATGGAGGAAACAGGAGCTTTTGAGCAGGATGTCTAGTTATAAAGTTCAGTTAAGCGAGTGTTAATCTGGCAGTTGTTTCTCCAAAAATCTAAGAGTTATGGGTTTCAAATGAGAGAATTTATATTCACTGTGCTCTCTATTTTCCTATAGAAAAGCAATACTATATAGAAAAGATTTGGGCCAGATACCAGATGCCTCTCCCATGCCATTCTTTTTAGTCTCTTTAGTAAAGCATACATCGCAACCACCATTCCCTGCCTCCCACGAATGGTGGGCAGATTTTGAATCAAAGCAATGCAAGTAAAAGATCAATGTTGTCAACTGATTATGTAAGAGGCACTAAGTGCGTGTGTGTGTGTGTGTGTGTGTGTGTGTATCCATATGAGGAAAAGTAGGAGGAAGGGGTGGGCTAAGGAGGAGGAAGAGAAAACTACAGCTCTGTAGTTGTGTTTCAAATAGAAATACTTGATTATAGTCCAGAGAAAGCAATTTGGTTATTTAAAATGCCAAGTTTTTAATTTCTTTAGTAATGACTGCCATCGC